AAAGTGGCACTTCAAATCCAAAGAGATTGAGAAGCGTGGAAATTATAACAATTATTATTTTTATTTACATCATTAAAACAGTTCATATCTCTTTGGATTTGGTAATGGTCATTATATAGCAGTGTACAAGAAACGTACTGATGAAAACAATTGCAACCTATCCACTTACACCGCCAAACAGAAAGAGTTGATTGATAATTACAATTTCTCACAAAGAGTGTTGTTGTCTACAACTTATTTGCCTTATTTGTTGTTTTGTGTTTTGTGTGAATTTCAAACATTTGTAACATGTAAATTACAAAAGAGACAATATTGTATCTTTGCCAAACATTTTTTATTGCTTTGCTTTGTATATTCTTTTTGTAATAAAATATAAAAAATCTTCATTCTATCTTGTGAATTCTATTTGTTAAATAGGAAATAATATACTCTAAGAATAATCAAACTAGAACAGTCTAATTATTTTTATTTATTTCAATATAAATAAACAGTCAAAGGCTTCGATTTGTTGTGAATAAGTGATTTTTTATAAATTCTTATTAATATTAAAATATTTTTTATTAATTTGCTCATTATATCATATAGAAAAAACCATGGGAGAGCATCTTTTAAACCAGGGAATACACAATATTACACGTTGCATAAGAACGCGAAAGGGGGCGAAAATGGTTGACGAAGACAACTACCCCGAGTCATGCGAACCAGCCTATCATAAACGTGGTGAGTCATAATTGAATTCTTAATAAGTATCAAATAGAAAAAATAAGAAATCTATTTTAAGAAGTGGTGATGGTAATGCAAATTATATATTAAATTCAAAATATACTTTTCTCTTTATATATAGATAAGACTAATAAATCAATCTAAATCCACTTTTTGATAATATTCTTACATGTATTCATTCCCTTTGTTTGTAATTTGCAATTATGACAATTACATAATTTAAATGTTAATAATAGAAACAGATTTTTGAACCAAAAACAACCACAAAATAACATGAAAAACGATCATCAAGACATATACCAAAGCTACTGCATTAATTCTCAATGATTCACTTTTGTTCATACCAACCTTACATCCAGTGTCGCCTTGTTTGCATGGCGTATTGTATGTGTTTTCAGAAATAATAAATTTTCTTGACAATTATCTCATTTTTTGTTGTGCACATCTTTCAATTTGCCATTGAACTTATCACATTTTTTTTGTTAACAAGAAAAAATCCATCTTACATTTTAACACAGTTCATTGTTCTTCCTTCCTCTTACATTTTTGGTGTTACAAACTCTTGACAAACAGTCAAATTAATGAACACTTTGCATTTCTTGAACAATTTCTCCGCACCAACTTTTAAATGCGTTTCTTTACAACTGTCTTTCACACACTTTTGGTGGCTTCAATAATCAAAGCATCGTCTTTGCGAACAGTTAACTTGTTTTTTTGAACATCTTGTCATTTTCAATACGAGAGGTACACACTTTTTTCCTTTGAAAACACACTTCTGGACAATCTTTTTGTAAATCTGGTTTGAAATTATCAGTTGTTTGTACAATTACATTCAGTTGATGATTTGAAATTTCCACTGCCATCAATTGTATTACATGCAGAACACGTTTATTCATTAGATAAAAAGAATCCGTCAAAACAAGACAAACACTTTGAGTTTGCCTTGTTTTTGTTATGGACAATGCTTCAGTTCACTTAGCAGAAATAACTACCAAAGCAGATGCCAAGGGGTGTAAGGTCTTATTTAACGCTCCGTACTCTCCAGAATGTAATCCAATAGAGATGATTTTTGGGATATGAAAAATGAGTTTTGGCAAACTTAATATTTAACATGCTAAATATGCTTACTAATATGTGTTTGTAATTATTTAATTTTAAAATGGGTTTAATCAAAATAAATACTGGATGTTTTTTTATCTGTTGGTTTCAAAAGAAAAGATATAATCATTATCAAACAAAATTACACATTTATGAGACTTATTTTTTAGCATTTTGATATTATTTTGAAACATTACTTCGTTTTAAAACACTTTTGTTTTTTATCGGGACAAAATACGAAGAATCTTTTTTAAACCCGACCCGGCACATCTACATTTTATTTTTTTTAATAATTTATTAATAAAATATACCACAAAAAAGTAAAATTGATTACAATTATTAAAATATTTTTATTAATGATAATGGTTCTATTTTTTTCATTTTTTGTTGAAAAAAAAGAAAAAGTAAGAAAAAATAATGTGATGTTTATAAGACATGATATTTATAATTTTAAGTATAAATTTATATATTGTTATAATTCATTTGTAGTTAAAATATAATAAATATGTTATTCACACAAATTGATAAACACAACTGTTTATTCTGTTACTACTTTAGATAATTAATTTCAATAAACCAATTGTTATAAAAATATGAATATCTAATAAACAAATAACATAAAACTGTGAATTAATAATTTTTTGTTTCGTTTTTTAATTTATATTTTTAATTAACAAAATTGATAAAATACGAATTAATTAATATTTGTATTTTTTTAGGCTTTTTTCACTTCGTATTTTTAGACTTCTGTTTTTATACCCAAAAGATTTATCGACAAGTTTGGATGTAGCTGTTCTTTTTTTCCCTTTGCATTTTATATATTTTGGATCTTTAATTTCATCAGTGTCATACACGTGATTGTCATATTGATTTAGTCATTAAAATTTTTTTCTGCAAATTCTGTTGTTGATTCGAATATCGTTTTTCTGTTGAGTTTTTGACTTGCTTCGTTCAAAATGCCAATTAAGACACTTTTAGACATGTCATCATGTTTACTCAAAGTTTCTACTGTGTGTTTCACTTCAAAGTTGTCATCACATATCAAAAATCCTAAAAAATCTTTTTCATCAAAAAGTGGTAATTCACTTCGAGAAAAAACAGCAGTCTGACCAGACCATTTTATCTTTGAAATAACCAGGAGGGCACGTTTCATCTTGATAATTGTTAATACCCAGAGTTATCCAATATATCATGTGAAAACGTGGAACACCAGTCGTGTGATAAACTAAACAAGTACAACAACACCCGTTTCCAATTTCACAATGTTTAATGGCTAGAAATGTTTTATAATTCGATAGAAGATTCTTTATTGTGACTGGTGAAAGTTTTCACAACAATTCGGTGGTGATGAGATTGGAAAGTGCACGACTCTCGGTATCACTAAATGGTTTTGCATTGATATGTAATTGCCTGGTGTAGTTAATAAAGGATTTAGCAGCAACTTCAAACGTTGGTACTGATGCATAAAATGCCTGTGTTGCATGAGAAAAAAATACCTCGACTATGTTTGTATTGGGAAATAGGTTAATATCAACTTGAGATGGAAAGTATGTCTTTTTGAGATCGAAGAGTGTTTTTAACACTTTGAACTTTCGAGATGGTTTCTCAGTGTTTTGAGTGGGAAACTTTTTAGCAGCAATCGCTGTTGTGAAGAAAGTCTATATTCTCGTTCCGTGTAAATTCTGTTTTAAGTTCCACTTTTTTATCCTTTTTAATTTTAGATTGTTCCATTAATTCTATTATTTTTTAAAATAAAGAGCTTCAGTTTTAACAAATTTGCATTTTCTTCAAACATCCCGAAAAATAAACCAATTAGTTTCTCTTTTTGCGAGAAATGTTTTTTCAAATTTCTTCCGATGTGAAGGTAACAATGTCTAATTTTTGTATTTTGACCAAATACTTCTTTAACCGCTGAATATTGAGACTCCGATCTATCAGCAGAAAACCCAAGAGGTATTTTTTGTTTTATTATGAGTTCTTCTATGAGATTTTGTAAGAATAAAACGAATGAATTTTTTGAAGCGTCGTGTAAAAATCCAAAACACAATAGTTGCGTTTTGTCGTTCTTTTTGAATACTGCCACAAACAATGGCAAAACAAATTTGTTAGTACAGTGAATATCATCTATAGCAAGACAAGAACCATCATATTCTTTAAGAGACAACATATTCACACAAAAGCAACAAACAAAACGGTTTTCGTGATCTGTATAAATATTTGTGGTAAAGTCATTGAGTGACTCAAAGTATTGTCGTAAACTTTGTGCTTGTTTCTTTGTATTGTAATTGTATGACTTGGCTCTCAATCTATTAATAGTTGTGCTTTGAGTTTGATGTCGTTATTTAGACGTGATTGTGCTGCTGAATCATTTCAATTGGAACTGTATCATATATACCCTTTTTGATTGCGTTTTCATTATGTCCTTGATGCCATGGATTGGAATAAATATCTTCACGTATACCGTTAATCAGGAAAATATAAATACAAGAATGACAATTCTTGAATTTACACACGAACTGTTGTTTTAGTCCATCACTTCTGGTTTGTGAAGCTTTATAAATTTAAATTTGAATGTGTTCAATAAAATAAAAAGCATTTTTTAAATATCTTGTATTAACGAAGTATTTATCTGAGTTCCTAGAAGACTAATAAGACCCACTTCAATATTATCATTGACACATAATAAAAATTCGTTTTCGTTTGTATAAATTTTTACTACCCACATGTTTGGTGTGTCCACTTTCATTCTCAATTCTCGAATATACGATGGTTTCAAATTAAATTGTGATAGAGAACACAACTCATCTTTAATATATGAGGGAAATAATGTAATATCAGTCTTTTTCTGAAAAACGTCACATACACATTCAAGCTCCATTTTTGGTAATTATTAGTTTTTTGATAACAGAATAAACAGTTGTGTTTATCAATTTGTATGAATAACATATTTATTATATTTTAACTACAAATAAATTATAACAATATATAAATTTATACTTAAAATTATAAATATCATGTCTTATAAACATCACATTATTTTTTCTTACTTTTTCTTTTTTTCAACAAAAAATGAAAAAAATAGAACCATTATCATTAATAAAAATATTTTAATAATTGTAATTAATTTTACTTTTTTTATGGTATATTTTATTAATAAATTATTAAAAAATATAATGTAGATGTGCCGAATCGGGTTTAAAAAAGATTCATTGTCTATCAACACGTTGTGTGACTATAGATATGATGGCAGTAAGTTCACAATCAGCCACACAGCCAATCCAGTTTTGAATCGCGACGACTGTGTTGATGCAACACTTGAAAACGAACTCACTCTTGTTGTTACTGGAAACAGTTATACCCCAACAAAAAGCGAAGTGTGGAAAGCAATCAAATCCACAAGCCCTGCAATTGTATTATCTCTTGGACAACTCACGTTGAGTGCAGCGAGTTGTGGCTTTGGTGGAAGTGTCACAATCCCAAAGTCAACAGTGACATGCACACATTTCGACATTTCACAAAACACACAAATCACAACAGAAGGCACATTCAGTTTCTCGACATTCACTGCTACACACCAACTCACAAAAAGCAACACAAGTGGTGTTGTGAAGGTGTTATTCAGTGGAAGTGTTCCGTCTCTGAGTTCAATTCAATACACTGGAAGTGATTTTACAAACTGCTTTGAGTTGATTTCATACCAAAGTGAAACACAGCAAACACTGGACACAACAAACACAAAGATGCTTGGAAAAAAGTTGGTTCGCCACTGTGGAACATCAACTTTTGATGATGGCATACTGTGTGTTCTTCTCAAGGGTGATATGAACAACAACACAAGTTATCAAAGCGAAGTGCTTCACTGCCCAACTAACACAGCCAACACGGTGATTCAGATAAACACCGCAAGTTACACACAAACAGTCCAATTTGATGGCGTCTTCTCACAACAGATCACACAGACTTCTCTCACTAAGAAAGACACAAAGGTGTCACAATTACAAGACACGAGTAACAACATGATTTGCATTGACAAAAACTCACTTGATAAACAAACCATCTCAGTGTCAAAATCAGCAACTAAACTGTTTGTGAGTTCTTCATTTGGCTTTGAAAACACCGCAAAAGCGATGAAGGGTGCAACCGATGGCGTTTCTGTTGTGCGAAGTTCTTTCACAAACTGCACGGCCTTGCTTGTCAAAGGCAGCACAACAACATGTGAGAGTTGCAGAAGTTCATATCTCACGAATGGTCTGTGCTTCAATTACGACAGTTCTTGTACCAATTACTATTAGGGAGTATATTTGTTTGTGTGCGACACGTGTGGCAATGGGAATGAGGCGTACAAATACGAATGTGTTAGTTGTAACACAAATGGTGGAACAAGTGCACACATTATGTTGATGGGAAGTGTGTTGAGTGTGATGACTGGAATTTTGTTGAAAGTGGTGTGTGCCAAGGAGTTGACAGAGCAACAACACTTCTTCATGGCAGAGGAATTTCACTCAAATGTGCAAATGGGTACTACAGTCACTACGATATGTGTTCAAAAGCAGCAGCAACGTGTTTACAACAAACCGACTCAACGACATGCACAGTTTGCAAAACCGCGAGAGTCTTACATGATGGCAGTTGTGTTTCCAAATCAAACTTTGATAGAAATTCGAACACAGAAGTGTTGAGTTGTGTTGGTGGGTACTTTGTGGCAAAACAGCAAACGTGTGCCAACAATGCACAGACAAGTATGGTGCTCTCTGTTCGTTGTGTAACTCTTCAAGTTGTCTGAAATGCAAAGATGCTGTTTTAACAATGGAGGGAACGTGTTCGAGTTACACCGACAGTGGGTGTTCGTCGTCGACAGATGTTCATTGCTCGTACTGTTCAGTTGCAACAAATTATATTAACTCAAATGGGAAGTGTATAGCCAATCCAAAGAACTGTCTGACTTCTTCAAAGAGTGGAAATTGCTTCGCTTGTGCTGAGGGACTTCATCTTGATGGAACACGCAGTTGCGTCTCAGAAAGAACAACGGACAACTGCGACCAGATGAGCAAAGCAAACGATCGATGCATTAGGTGTTCATCAGGACATTATCTTGAAAATGGCGTATGTCCATCATGTCAAGACTTCTGCGTTCTCTGTTCTGACTCAAACACGTGTCTCCAATGCGACTCAAAACACGTCTTTAACGGGACTTATTGCGAAGAAATCTCTGACAAATTCCACTGCAAAAACTACTTGCAAGGGACATCCACGTGTGTTGTGTGTGAAGATGGCTATTTCAGAAATCCAAAAACTTCTCTTTGTGAGTCTTGTGTTTACGGGTGTAATAAATGCACCAACGACGCGACGTGTTTGCTCTACAATGTAGACTACTTTTTACTCAGCGACCACGCCCAATGTATTCCATACAAAAACTTGACAAATTGTAACGTGACAAGTTCATCTGGGTGTGTGACGTGTTCAGTTGGCTATTACTACGACAACCAGTATTGCTCGTCGTGTTCCTCTGCAATTCACAACTGCAACAAATGTTACTCCAACACGGACTGCATGTCTTGTGAAAACAATTTCATTTTAACAAACAAAAGTTGTGTTGCAAAAAGTGAAATTGCAAATTGTGTGGAAGTGACCAACTCAAAGAGTTCAAAGTGTTCGTTCTGGCACACCACAAACACAGACAACACGTCGTGCATCACACAAGCCGTGTGGTGGGTGATACTTCTCATTGTCATCGTAGTTGTTGTTATCATCATACTCGTCATAGTCGCCGTCATAGTTTTGGTCATCAAATACCTCAACCACCAGAAGATCGAAAAGACGCGTGAGAAGTTCTGTCTCTTTGAAATGGCACTTTCAAATGTCCAATTCATTTCAACGTCAAATTCCGACGTTGTGTTGAACAAAACAGAAATTCTGTTTGAAGGAGACAACGAGGAGAATCAGATTCCTGTTGCCACTGAAATCCGCGAGTTGGTTTGTGTTGGAAAGGTCGGCAAAAACTCAATTAAAGTGCAATTCACACTGAAAGGCTCTTCAGACAAGTACGAAATAAAAACAGAGCCAAAAATCATGACGATTTTAAGAGGAAAAGCAATTGAATTTGAAGTCTTGTTGTCACCACTTTGTTCGTGCAAAATAGACGACAAGATGGTGCTCTCGTCTGCCAACACGGCAAAAGGACAAACATCTGAAGTGTTGATTTCACTCATGAAAATGACAGTGATGTCAACACTTTTAGACCCAGACGAGTTGATTGAAGAGAAACAACTTGGTGAAGGCTTGTTTGGTGTTGTGTTACTTGGGAAATACAGAGGTAACAAAGTTGTTATTAAAGAGATGAAAAACATGAACAACAACACTTCGATGGAAGAGTTCAAGAAGGAAGTTTCCATGTTGGACAAGTTCAGAATTGATTATGTTGTAAACTTCTATGGCTCTGTGTTTATACCGAATAAGATCTGTATGGTCACCACAACCAGGCGTTTACCAAAATTTACACGATTAATGCCGAAGCCCAAAAATGCCTTAGTCTAATTTTATGAATGTTTTTCTTTTAAAAATACGTTTTTGGGAAAAAATTAACACCAGCCCACCGTTTTTTAAAACGAAAACGAGGCAAAAAATTAATACTATTTTTTTGTGATGGTCACTGAATTTGCAGTGACCAACACGGAAGTTTAAAAGACTTGATGAGACACAAAAAGGCGGAAGAAGTTGTTTTAAGTGTACATGTTAAAATCATATACGATGCAATTAAGGGGTTGGAGTATTTACATAACAACGGCATTTTACACAGAGACATCAAGCCTGACAACTTATTGGTGTTCTCAATTAATCTGAAAAACAATGTGAGTGCTAAACTGACCGACTTTGGGTCATCGAGAAATTACAATGCTATGATGACTAACATGACATTCACGAAGGGAATCGGAACACCAAAGTTCATGGCACCTGAAGTGTTGGAGAAAAGTCCATACAAGAACAGATTTTTAAAATACAAAAATTAAACCCTCGCGTTTAGTTAAAGTATTATAAAATATAGTTTAAAATGGGTGCACCCTAAAACGGACGAATTTATATAATACTGTGGCTTTTTGTATTTTTTTGTTTTTTGAGAAATAATGTCGATTACAATTCTATTATTTTCATACTCATAAATTTAAAATTGAATTCAAGAAAATATTATAAAAATACAAAAATTGATTAATAATTACGAATACTTGATATAATTGTTGTTATTGAGATAGTATTATAAACATACCATTCTTAGAGCTAAGTAATAATATTTGCCATTTTTTTATTTGATAAATATGTGAACTGATTTAAAATTGATGAGAATATATTGAATATCATTCTTTATTTATTTTTAAAAACTTGGCTTAAATTTTTATTATATCAAAAGTGTTAATTGAAATTCAAATGATTATGTTTATTTTATGTTTTCATCAATAGAATTAATCTTTATCTTTAATTGTATCACAAGTTTAATAAATAATACAAATTTTGATATAATAATTGAATTAAAGTAGAATCGAAACAATTATAGTAAGGAGAATAAAAGAGCCAATAGCAGATGATGGTTGAATGTTGCGATTTATTATTCTACTTTTATCTTTTTCTTCGCATACATTTAATTTAACAACTATTGTTTTTTCGGCTTCTCCTTCGCATTTATCATTTTTGAAGATAGATATAATAACTTCTTCTTTATTGATTACTCCTCTTCCATATGTATTTTCTGTGCCACGTTCTTTTACACATCCTGGTTTATTATATGTTATTAATGGTCCATATTCTTTTGGATACGAACAAGTGTTATCAAAGTAAATTTCGGTCTGAAATAAATGTTCAGGTAAATCTTTTATTAATGCAAACTTCTCTGCTACTGATGGATTTAATGTCATTGTATTGCAATCCTTTCCAGCAAAATAAGTTAAATTATTTTTTGTTGCTGCACTGATTTCAAATCGACCAAATTCCAACGGTTGTGATTTGATACATTTCCCTATTTCAACTCCCAAAAAGATGTTACTTTCATCAACATATGCATATTCTGAAACGGTAAGTGTTGAACACACCAAAAGCAAAATAATGTTCATTTGATTTTAAGTTTATAATACGTACTTTTATAGTTATTTTATACCTCTTTGTTATATTTTTGTTTATTATAAACTTCAACTTATATGTTTGAATCCTTAAGAAATATATTTAGAAAGTATTAAAAATAGATTTTATGTATTAATTATTATAATTTAATAAAGTAATTATCATTTAATATAATAATGTAAAATTAGTTAATGAAATAAATAAACCAAAGAAACTTAAAAGTTTAATGTTGGGATTTGAAGTCAAAAAATCAAATATTTTAGTTGTATAAATAACAATATTTACGGCTTTTATAAAATGTATACTGTTATTCTTATTATTATAATTATTTCATAACACAACTTAAAATGTAAAACAATAAAATATAAATCAATTTTTATGAATTGTGTTTGTAATAAAATGTTTTAATTTTTAAAAATACATTTAATTAACAATCTTTTGGATGAATTTTACACCTACAAATATTGATAATATCATAACAATCATTTGGAATCGTTTCAAGATTTTTGAGCTTTTTCCCACTTATAACTAACTGGACTATTTTCAGTGGAAACTTATAATCGGTTTTATTGTATGCTTCTCTTTAATTAATTACTTTAAATACTTTATACATAGCAATACCAAACAAATAAATATCAGCCCTCTTTTTGTATTTTTTGTTTTAAAACTTCAGGCGCCATATATATCGGTGTGCCCATTTTCTTTAAAAAAGTCATGTTAGTCACCAACAAATTCACATTTCTCGCACACCCAAAATCAGTTAATATGGCATTCACTATATCTTCTGAATCAAATAAAAAATATTGTCTGGTTTTATGATTATGTGTAATATTTTATTCTCATGAAAAAACGAAATACTTTTTGAAGCATCTGACACCATTTTGACTCGTACCTTTATGTTATTTTTTCATATTTTAATATTTTTCATTTATTCCTGCTTACTTCCAAATTGAGCAAATTGAGTAACCATGCAGATCTTATTTGAAATGAACACAACACCATAGAAATGGACGATATATTAACTCCCGAATTTGTCCAACATGGAAAATTCTTTTACAAACTCCTGAAGTGACTTTATATCATTTACAATTAATTTTAATTTTTAAATGCAACAATGTTTTCTTTAAAACTCCCTTTATAGTAAACATTAAACGATCCTTCACCGATTTTTTTTCTTATTCGTTCAATTCTTCGGTACCTAAACGAGTTGAAATTTGCCTTTTAGATTTTACTTTAATTGATATTTCAAATGTTATACGTTTTTCATATCTACTGATATTAACACTATTTTGTCATTAATTCTACATGATTTTTTTTGGTTCAAATATATTTTAAATACAACAGTGGTACCCATCTTAATAACAACAAATTGTGGTTCAACTCGTTTTGAGCATTAATCAGTCAAATTATTAATAAAAATTGCACTTTATATATGTTATTATTGACATTGCCAACACATATCGATTCACGATTTTCAGCAGCCACTGGAATCTCTTTTTATTTACGTTTTCAAAAACAATTTCAGTTTTACTTAACAAGATGTATTTGTTTGTAGTTTTTAAAAATGAAATAACGATTTTTCATCGAGAATATACTGATGCCATTTTTTGTTTGTTGATCTTTTGAATACTTCAAATAAACCTTTATTGAATTAGTTTATATGATAAAAATATTGATAACAATAAAACAGTAAACAAAATAAATATAAAAATGACCCATCACACAGCTTTCTTAATACAAAAGTGCCACACTCACTTAAAGAATTTCAAAAGGTTCATTTGGAACATTTTGAACGAGAGACTGCTTGACAGTTTTAAATAAAAATGTGATTAAAACAAACAGAATTGACTTATATTCCGTCAGAGAAACATGTCAGACAGAAATTTTGAGAGTTACAAGTGTTACAATTACTGTCGCAATTTTGACATTGATTTGAGTCGATTTGGTTATACCCATATTTGCACTTTGAACGCCAACTTTCTGTCACTTCATCCTGACAACTCTCTGATAAAAGTAAACGGGGTAGACAATTTCCTGAAGTCGTTTTAAATTTTGTTGAATTAAATTGAAGACATTTTGTTGATGAGGAAAATACAAGAAGAGTACAAGATGTCACAATCAAAGCAGTTGATACCATTTTTGAAATATCAGTCTGAACATTCACTACACATTTTTGTTGAAATAGATTTGTTTCATTTTCCAATCAATTTATCATTTCACTTGTATTCATATTTTAATAAAAATTAGCCTTCATCACATCTTAAACAATATGAAAAAAATAACACGTTTGAAATAAAGAAATATTACATTTCAAACCCTTTTTTGAATCAGAATTATACCCATTTACACATTCAATACATTTAAAGAAATTATTGTTTTACAATTTGTAGTAATTACTCAAATTGTATTATTTAATACTATATTTTAATATTTATACTCCATTTATGATACAGTGATGTTGTAATCTAAGTACTATACTATTTATATATTTTATTATTATTTATAGTATTATTATTGAATAAACACAAACACTTGTTTATGTGTTGAAATAACAATTGATGTTGTTTCTTCACAAACATTTATGAACTGGTCAACTTTGTAGTTGATTTTATAACAATATCGTTTTCATTTTAATTGAAAATGTTAAATTTGTTGTTTGTTTTATTGAGTGGGTATTTTTATAATAAAACTAAAAATAGAATTCTTTATAGAGCGGTAATTAAGGTTTAATTGGCTAAAAATGCCCGCTCTTGAGAAAACAAAATTACCATACTTTCCGGCTTTTGAAAGGTTTTACTTTATTTATTATTAAAAATTTTAAATAATTAAAATAAAAAATGGGAATAGTAAGAATCAAACCAACAGTCTTTACCGAATACCTTAAATTTTATTAAAAAAATAATGCACTACCATTGTGCTATCCCCTTTTTAAATTTATTGGTATTACAATCATCAAATTAAATTTAATCAAAAAACTCAAAAAAGATATTAAAGTCATTCCAAATAAGTGTGCAACTTTGTTTTTACTTTGTTTTTTACTCACAACAAAGAGAAACTCTATTTCTCAACAATAACAAAAACAATTACAAAAATAGAATTGGGTTATAAATCAACATAAAATATAATACGATATTTAAATGATAAGTTCAACTGCTTGTTCTAATAAAAAACAATAAAATTCCAGAATTCCAATTGTCATACAAAACGAATAAAAAGGCGTTGTATATCGATTGTGGATGGCGCAGATGTTAAACATTTCGTTTATAAAAAATAATGGGAAAAGCCAATTTGTGTGATTCAAAGACTCTTTTGCTGCAAAATTACAGTGAACACGAGACTGTTGAATGGTGCAACCCAATAAAACTAATTGAGAAAATTTGTGTAACTTTGGTTATAGTTCTGTTATAGTATTTTAATAAGAGTAATAATTTTAAAGAAATTTGTTTGTTTTCTTGTTTTATTTAATGAATATATAAATTTTATTATATAATTATACTATAAACAAAGTTGCACTGACACGTCAAAGTTGCACAGTTTAAAGAAAGACTTTAGTAAATTTTATTAACAATTATTTTAAACGTTTTTACCCATGTATTTAAAAAAATCAATCATATTTAAAGATTGTTTCATGCCTCGGAAAAATTTGCTTTTCAAGAAAAAAAGACTGAAGAGGCTGTTTTTTGCGGCAAAAAAATCGTCTTTGGTAGAGCCATTTTTAAAAATACGAAAATAAACGGGACATTAGGTTATATTGAATTGTGATTCCAGAAGATTCAATAATTTTTATCAAATTGTTTTTGATAAATTAACAATTTGTAAATATTTATCGATTTTTTATGTGTTATTAGCACAATCAAAACAGAAGTAAAATTAACGACAATAAAAAATTAACATATAAATT